ATACAGTGTTCCTCCAGGTAGAACATGCCCTAAGAAAGAGAAAATTAATTTTTAAATAATGTTTCTCCCTACTCTGATATATTTTATTATACTTTAGGAACATATTTAAAAGCTAATGAGCTAATTCTAAGCTGTTTGTAGTTGTCTCTAAGCTAATTGTGAATATCAATGGAATGTTTATACATAACAAAAAAATCCTAGTGATGCTCACCTTAGCGATCTGCACACACCAATTAAGCAGGCGCTGGGGGTCCAGGCGGTTCTTGTGGTGCTTGATGTGATCCAGTAGGGAGCCCTGTGTAATAAACTGAGTCACCAGCTGCAGACTGGTACCCGGACAGATGCCCAGCAGCCTCACAATGTACGGGTGGTCCAGGCTGCCCATGGACAACATATGCTACACAGAAAAAAAGAATGACAAGACAATATGAACTTCCTTTTACACAGTTGGATTTGATCTGATAACCTTCTTGCTAAGAGATGATCATGACAGTACAATGTGGCTCCCTGTGCGGACATAATGTGTCAAAGTCACTTCTCAGTGAAAAAGTTCACAGTATTTTTTTGCTCTTACATCTGTGATGAAAAGTATTTTTTTGCTCTTACATCTGTGATCTCAGTGAAGGTCTGTCGTCCTGAAGAGTCCTGGATGGTCTTAATGGACACAGGGATCTTCACTGTTTCTCCCTCTGGAGTCCAGAATCCCTGAAGAACATGAAATATACAACTGGAGTCACATTCTCACAAGTTCCTAATAGCCTCATAACAGATAAATATCTAAAACGATGAAAGAAAAATGTTCATCACTACCTTGTGAACTGTTCCAAAAACCCCTGAGCCCAATGCTTTTATTTTCTTCAGCTCTGAAGGTCTCAAAATGCGAGCATGAACCTTGGTGCCCTTTTCTCCAGGACCCAGCGGCTCAAAGCTCTGTCAGATCAGAAAGATTTCTTTTTTGTTTTTCCTCTTCTGAAGACTTAAGTCATGTGATGATGATGATCTCACCTCTCCACTCTCTAGGTATCTTCTCATGGCTCTCTTGCGACGGATGGCCAGGCCTCTGTGGTAC